TTTTCTTAATGGTAGGGGAGTGAAAGAAGAATATTTCATGACATGTAAAAATTATATGAAATTCAAATATCATTGTCCATTGATAAAATTAATAAAATTTTGTTAGATCACAGCATATTTATATAATCTGTAACAGCTTTCGTGCTACTGTGGTAGAGATGAATAGCTACTATAGAGACCCTATGGCCTGCCACCCCAAAAATATTTACTATCTGGCCTTTTTAGAGAAAAAGTTGTTGATGCATTTTTAAGAATACAGGTATGTGAGCAGCTCTTTTTAGGGTCTTGAGAGCCTAATCCAGAGCTATAGAATGAGGTTTTTTATTTTGGCAGGAGGATTGATGGTAATAAGAAAAATCTTCCCATATGTGATGTAAGTGTGACACCTGATGTGCTTCCAAACTAGGGGAATTATTTAAAGATGTGAAAACATTGAAAAGATGCCTGGCAATTTGGTACAATTTAGACTTAGGCTTGCCTGGGGAAATGGGGATGAGCAGGAGGACCAGAAAAGTAATCCAAACAAGAGTGACTCCAAGATCACTATAGCTTATTTTAACTAACTCTGAGCCTGACTTTGTGAAAATGTACAGTTTCCAGGTCCTTTAACCAGCTAGGAAGCAAAAGTGATAGAGTTGGGATAGCGAAAGCTTCCACGTATTTTTTTGTAGCGATTCTTACCTTTTTGTGTTCTAAGCCAAGCCATGTCAACTGATAATGGAGTGTAAATGGTGATGTACAACTTTCCTCATAGTTTCATATAAAAATTATGGAGATATCTATTTAAATGTTTGGACTAAAAGGAGTCTAAATCTGTGTTGACAAGTTTTCCTTTTTTAATTAGCATTCTTTCAGAGACAATTGAGTCTGACAGGTGAATCAGCATTTGGGGACTGTTATTGTTCAGCATCTCTTGCCAGCTTCCCTTCACACACTCTGTAGGTCTTGGCTCCCAGAAGCAATAAACCGTAATGGCCTCACTCACCGAGGCCTTTTAATTCATGGATCACGGACATGATAAATCGCAGGAACTCCTCTGGTGCCTTTTTGTCTAGAATGGCCAGATTCCTGAAAGCCAAGTGCAGAACGCCTTTTAAAACGTATCTACTCAGCTGAGTAGGGTGTTCACGTTCAGGAACAGAGAGAAAGTGCCTCTGAAAGTGTGTAACAGGAAGGTAATACACTTTGAGACGCATGTTGACCCCCAGGTATCTGTGCTTCTATGAGTAGATGACAGAGGAGCTTTTCCCCAACATAGCTTGGGATTTTGCTACCACTTCCTAAAGCCAGTTTCCCCATTTCAATGAGGCAGTTGCAAGGGATTTATTTTCTTGTTTTAATGGGAGATGCCTCCTCACCGAGTTTATTGAGATAAAATGGACATATAACATTGTGTAATTTTATGATGTACAGCATGGTGACTTGGTATATTATATATTGCAAAATGATTACCACACTATGGTAGTTAACACACCCATCACCTCACATAGTTATCATGTGGGTGTGTGGGTGTGTTGGGAACTTTTAAGATCAACTCTCTTAGCAACTTTCAAGTATCTGATATTTAGTATTGTTCCTGATAGCCACCATGCTATGCATTGCATCCCCAGAACTTGCCACTTTATAAGTAGAAGTTTGAGTCTGTAGAGCACCATCATGTTTTTCCCCTGCCCCATCCCTGGCAACCACAAATCACCTCTCTGCTTCTATGAGTTCAATTTTGGTTTTTTTAGATTCCACATACGAATGAGATCCTGTAGTACCTGTCTTTCTCTCTTTGATATATTTATTTAGCATAATGCCCTCAAGTTCCATCCATGTTTTTGCAAATGGCAAGATTTCCTTCTTTTATTATGGCTGAATAATATTCCATTGTAAGTAGATGCCATGTTTTGTTTGCCCATTTATCCATTGATAGACACTTAGGTTGCTTCATATCTTGGCTATTGTAAATAATGTTGTAAATAATACAGTGAACATAGGTATGCAGATAGGTTTTTGAGTTAGTATTTTAGTTCCCTTCAGAGAAATACCTAGGACTTGAATGGCTGGATTGTATGGTAGTTCTACTGTGAATTATCTGAGGCTGTTGCACATTCCCACCAACAGTGCTCAAAGGCTTCCNCCACTTCCAAAATATTAGCTTAGAATATCTTTAATCTATTTATCTCCTTCCCAGTGAATATATGCTTTTGCGTCGGTATTTTAATTCTTTTTATTTTTTAACACTACTAGACACTATTTATTCTCTTTTATGGAGTCAGTGTTGGTTTCCATTTGCCCAATATTTACCATGTTCTCTGCAATTTATTTCTTCCTGCGTCTTAGACCTTCCTTCTAGGATCACTTTTCCTTCTGTTTGAAGTATATTCTGAGAAATTCCTGTAGTAAGGGTCTTGTGGGACAATCTGTCTCAGTGTCTGCTTGTTTCTAAATGTCTCAATTTCTTCCTCATTCTGAAAATACGTATTCTCTCTGGATATAGAATTTCAGTGGGCAGTTATTTTCTCCCTCCCTCCCTCCCTCCCTCCCTCCCTCCCTTCCTTCTTTCTTTCTTTTTTTTCTTTTTATAATAGCCATTCTAACAGGTGTGAGATGATATATCATTGAGGTCTTGATCTGCATTTCCTGGACGATTAGTGATGTGTTGAGTATCTTTTCATGTACCTGTTGGCCATTTGTATATCATCTTTGGAAAAATATGTACCAGTTCCTTTGCCCACTTTTTAATCAGATTATCATTTTCCTTTTATTATTGAATTTTATGAGTTCCTTATGTGTTTTGGATATTAACCTCTTGCCATATATATGATTAGCAATAATTTTCTTCCATTTGTAAGGTACCTCTACATTTTGTTGACTGTTTCTTTTGCTGTGCAGAGCTTTTAGTTTGATGTGGTCTTACCCATTTATTTTTACTTTTGGTGTCATATCTAAAAAATTATTACCAGTATCAATGTCAGGAAACTTTTTCCTATGTTTTCTTCTAGGAGTTTTACAGTTTCAGGTCTTACATTTAAGTGTCTTTAATTTATTTTGAGTTGATTTTTGTGAGTGAAGTAAGATAGAGGTCCTGTTTTATAATTTTGCATATGAATTTCTAGTTCCACACCACCATTTATTGAAGAGACTATCATTTACTTATTGAGCGTTCTTGGATCTTTTGTTAAATATTAGTTGACCATACATATTTATTTCTGGGCTTTCAGTCCTGGTCCATTGCTCTTTGTGTCTGTTTCATGCTAGTACCCTACTGTTTTGATTACTATACCCTTGTAGTATAGTTTGAAATCAGGAAGTGTGATGCCTTCAGTTTTGTTCTTTCTCAAGATTGTTTTAGCTATTCAGAGGTAGGCGGTTTTTTTGTTTGTGTTTGGGTGTATGTACATACAAATTTTAGGATTTTTTAACTTCCTAAAAAAATGGCATTGCAAACTTGATAAGGCTTACATTCAATACATAGATGGCTTTAGAGAGTACAAATATTTTAATAATATTAATTGTTCCAATCCATGAACATGGAATATCTTTCCTTTTTTTTTTATGTTTTCTTCAATTTCTTTCATCGGTGTCATAGTTTTCAGTGTATAGAGTTTCACCTCCTTTGTTAAATTTATTCCTAAGTATTTTATTGTTTTTGATGCGACTGGGATTGGGATTGTTTCCTTTTTTTTCCCCCCAGATAGTTTTTTGTTAGTGTATAGAAATGCAACTGATTTTTGTATGATTTTCTATCCTGCAACGTAACTGAATTGGTTTATTAATTCTAACATTTGTTTTTGTTCAAAGTAGTCTTTAAGGGCTTTCTATATACAATATCATATCATCTTCAAATAGAGAAAGCTTTACTTCTTCCTTTCTGATCTGGATGCCTTTTTTAAAAATATTTTTTTATTGATTTTAGAGAGAGGGGAAGAGAGGGGGATAGAGAGATAGAAACAAAAATGAGAGCGAAACATCAATTGCCTGCCCCCTACATGTCCCCCCACCAGGGAGCGAGCCCACAACCCAGGTATGTGCTCTGACAGGGGATGGAACCTTGATCTCCTGGGTCATAGGTTGATGCTCAACCGCTGAGCCACACCCCACCGGGCTCTTTTATTTCTTTTTATTGGCTGATTTCTCTGGCTACAACTTCCTGTACTGTGTTGAATGGAAGTGGTAAGTGTGGGTACCCTTGTATTGTTCCTGATCTTACAGGTAAAGCTTTCAGCCTTTTGTCACTGAGTAGGGTGTTAACTGTGGGCTTGTCACATGTGGTCTTTACCATATTGAGGTATATTCCTGCTATTCTCAAATTGTTGAGGTGTTTTTCTTTTTATCATGAATGGATATTGAATTTTCTCAATTTCTCTAGAAATTTGAATTTTCTCTATCTAGATGATCACATAATTTTAATTTTTCATTATGTTGATGTTATGTAAGTGATTTGTGTATGTTGAACCATCCTTGCATCCCAGGTGTATCATTGTGATGTATGATCCTTTTAATGAGCTGTTGAATTCAGTTTGCTAGTATTTTGTTGAGGCTTTTTGCATCTATATTCATCAGGGATATTGGCCTATAGTTTTCTTTTCTTGTACTACCCTTATCTGCTTTGTTATAAGGATAATGCTAGTCTTGTAAAATGAGTTTGGAAGTGATCCCAATGGAAGATGTCTTGGGATAACTCATGACAGGTCAGAAGATTTAAATTCTTTTTGCTGTAACAGACAGCCTAAGAATGGCAGACTAATAAGGGAAGGGCTAGTTAACCCTCTGTTGTAAATCAAATTAACATTTAATTCAGCTTATCTCCCAGAACATATAGACCCCTGGCTGTGCCACAAATAACACATTTTCTCAGTTCTAAAAGTTTTGTCTATAAAGCTAGAAAACTTCAACTCATGATATACAATGCCATGCCTTATTTTTATTTCTTCTATTTTTACATCCATGAAATTTCTACATTTTTGTTCTTTTTTCCAAATATTTGACTTCCTATTGAGATGATCACCTACAGAGCTTGAGTCTCATCCGTAGATGAGCTGCCTTGTCCTGTCTTTAGGAGCTGTTCTCAGAGCCACATTACAGGTTGCTCCTCTCCTCTTCCCTCATCTACTTTTGAGGAACATGGATTTCTGTACACAATTCTCATCTGACTAGGATCTGCAGATGAATAAAAAAAAAATAGCAGTAACAGTTTTAAAATATTCTGACCCTTTGTAGCATCAAAGTTAATACTAGGTTATAGGATTTCATTGGAGCTTCACAAAGAAAGTAATCAATGGCTATTGACTTCCCACATCACAATAGGTGCTAAATTATAGCCCACTTTTCTATGTGTCTGAAAGGATTTTTATTTCACTCTTTATTTAATGCAGCTTTTCTAGTGAGTAAAAAGCAGTCTCCAAGTTCTGGTTCCCATCTCCCTCAGTGTTCAGTAAACATAAAATATACAAACTGTGTACGAATTTGAACACATTCATTTACCTGATCTTTGCAGCTTTGCATTTATGCTAATCACCATCCCAAAATCTCTGCTGAGTGATGTTCTTTAGGATTAGCTATTAAGGCCTTGGAGTTTCAGCTCAATATTGATTCCTCCTTGGATAAATGCTGTTCACACTTAGTAAAAAAAAAAAAAAAAGTCAATATTATTGCTAGTTAAGGAAACTTGTTCTAATGCTGACAGTCTGGGTGACATGTTTGTAAGACTTTGTTAATTCTGTATTTAACAGTGTTATTAAATGAAGACTTCCTTGACCTCATCTGCAGATTATAAAATGTATAATGATATCATTCGCGTTTTAAGAGCTAACTGCTATTTTGAAGGTTAAGCCACATTTATGCTTCTCTTATAAGGAGCTGGCTTTTAAAATGATTAAACGGTTTGCAAAATAGTTGGTGCAGTTTAATAAAGGGCAATCAACTCTTTTATCTAGAAGTGACCCACGGTTCCAGAGACAGTATTTGAAAAATCACCCCAGTTTGTTTTCTTGGATATTATTAAAGATTTCGTTTGTTATCTTAATTTTAGGAGAGGATTTAATATCATCCTGTGCTTTGCTTCTTTCCCCTCTTGGGTTGTTTTTTAAAGGTCATTCCATGATTGAAACGAGTCTACAACGATGGGGGAAGGAAACACTGCTGTCGTGTAGAACTCACAGAGAGGAGATTGAGAGTTGTGTTTGGGGACTAAGAATAGATTTCCTCAGTTCATTGTGTCCTTACTCTCTATTACCAGAGATAATTGAGAGGTGACTGGACTTAAATGAATAATGAATATACACCAAAGCATCTTTTAATAAATAAATGAAAATATTTTAGATTACTTTCAAGGAGCCAATGTCTTATTATGTCTGTATTTCCTTAAAATAGAGGCCCACCATGGTGGGAAAGTTAGTCTAAAACAAGTCAAACAGCAAATAAGTATTTTAAATAAAATCAAATGTGTGTGTGTGTGTGTGTGTGTAGGAAAGAGGAGGGAGGGGAAGAGAATGAATGGAAGTTAGACTTTTGTACTCGGGAAACATCAGGAAGTGGTTCACTCTTGCTCATTTTAACCATTTTGATGACTTTAGCTAAATGAACTGTTTCCAAATTCCTTAAGCAGAATATCCTAATACACACATAATTTAACCTTTCCCTAATGACAAAGACAATAATTATAAGTCTTGCGCAATGATTTCCTTGGGTGATGATGAAGAATGTCTAGCTCTTTCCCCTTGACATTAACCGAAGTCAAACAGCGCAGCTTTTTTGAGCACCTCTGTCTTCTTTTAAGTTAGTTTCTCTCTTTGTTGGGTAGTGTTCTTTTCAGTGCCTACTGGGAGGCTCTTGATTTTCTGTATCTAAGCCTTGACTCATTATATCCCAGATATAAATGAGATCACGTGGTACTTGTCTTTTTCTGCCTGGCTTATTTTGCTCAGCATAATCCTCTCCAGGTCCCTCCATGCTGTCCCAAAGGGTAAGAGATCCTTCTTTTTATATAGCTGTGTAGTATTCCATGGTGTAAATGTCCCACAGCTTTTTTACCCACTCTTTTATCTGATTAAAATAACTCACACTAAAGCATGTTTTAGGCTTAACATCCCATATAAGGTCAGTTATGTTTTTAAACATTGGCAATAAAATAAATCTTTGATTGGAAGATATTTGGGGATAGCACTGAGACATTACTCATCCCATACTTAGATTTTTAGAGAGTAAAATAAGTTGAATTAGCATGTTATCCAGAGTCAAAATGTCCCAAACTCAACCCGTGGTCCTGGGTAAGAACAAAACCATTGGAAGTGGAAACACGGTTCACACTGTCCGCACACCCATGGAAAACCCATCCCCAGCACGGGCCACATAGAGTGGCTCCTCCCCGGAGCCCACACCTCGAAAGCAGAGTCCATCTGTAACACTGAGGAGTCAGAATGGAAATAGAAGTCAGGAGCTTTGAAATGAAGGGCATCCTAGCTTGGGAGCCGACTGAGACAGGTGGATCAGGGGGCTTCTTATTTTCAGAAAGCAAAAACATCTTCAATTCAAAAGTATGTTCATCCTCAAATAAAGTTATCTCCTTGCTCTGCCCATGAAAACCTGTTGGATTCTGAACTGGATTGGACTGAACCTGTACCATATGCGCACACTCAAAATGGCAGCCCTTCTCCCTGCTCATCTGAAATCACAATGTTTTATATTTATTATTTATTTATTTATTTAAAAAAAATTTAAGTATGTTTTTATTGATTTCAGAGAGAGGAAGGGAGAGGAAGAGAGAAACGCCCATGATGAGAGTCATTGATCGGCTGCCTCCTGCACGTCCCACACTGGGGATCGAGCCTGCAACCTGGGCATGTGCCCTGACCAGCAATTAAACTGTGACCTCCTGGTTCATAGGTCAACGCTCAACCACTGAGCAACACCGGCCGGGTTGAAATCACATTGTTTTAATGTCCATTGACTAAATTAACTATACCTGTTCACAGTAATGAATCTGAAAAAAAAACCTCAAACATAATTTTGCCTGGCTGGCCATGCCTATGACCTGTGGGTTTCATAGGGTCTGATGGAAAACTCTTACCTATACACCCCCGATTGCAAGCAAGACCAAAAGCTATGCACTCCCACCCCATTCTCAACAGTTACACTTTGAGAGAGAGTTTTCCTGGACGGAGTAGGACAGAGCATGCTACATTTCAGAGGCCCAAACCACCAATCCACCTCTGCAAAGGTGATTTCTTAAACAGGGTATAATATACGTATGTTGAAATGTATATGTGGTAGTTAATGCAGGTAAACATGATCAGTCCAAGTGAATTTATCTATAGGACACCATATACTCCAATTATGCATAAAGTCATATGAAAAATCAGGGACTTTCCATGTAAGTGACTTAAAAAAATGATTTAAAATATATATACCCACATGAACTGCCTGTCTGTCTCCTAAGAATGTGCAGATAAAGGGTTAATAGTCTATATAAGGTAGACAATTAATGAGTAAATTTGAAAGCAGCTAAGAACCCAGCATTCTGTGTATCACTTTCATAATTGTACGCTTCTCCAGAGATAATGGATATCATTATCCGAGGCGCCTGTCCTAGGAAACTTAGCAAGGTTATGATTGTTTGTTACAGCTTTGGTTATATTAACATACACATTAATATTTATAAATATTTGATGTCATGTTAATTTTTCATATAAGATGATTTATGTAATGCCGCCGTGCCCTGTTAGAGGGCATCAGCAATATGCTTCAGAAGGAGCTGAACTGATGCATGTTCTTTAAGGGAACCTGCCTATGTAGCACTGTTCTTACAATGCATTATTCTGAACAAAGGCGTCTCAAAATAAAGTATGTCAATTGTGGATTTACTCTATTAACATGTTAAATAAAACATAAAGGAAAGGATCATGCTGGAACTATTTGCTGCATTTCTAAAAGGAGCAGGACAAACTTTACCAAAATCCTCTTTTTCCAAAACAAAGTCATTAATCAGCAGCGCTTTAGAATATGGCTTTAAATATGATGTGGTCTATATCACAGGCACACTAGGATATTCAGAAATGGATATTAATTTGGGATGGAAGAAATGTGCTGTATTCTTGTTTTTCTTCATCAGTTTTCCTTTGCTAAATTTGAACATTAAGGAAATTGAATATAAATTAGGCAGGATATGTGTAATAAATAAATCAACTATGAATTATGAAATGAATATTTGCTCTAGGTGAAAAAATTAATTTGTTTTTAGAAAGTTTAAGTAGCTTTAAGCATAAAGTTAGTTTATATATACTATGGGGACTTGAAGCCAATGATATATAGTCTGAGGAATTATAGGTTTGCTTAGTATTATAATAATGTTTTATAACATGGCTCATCAGTCCCCATTATGAAATTGTATTGCTAATTAAATGCTTTACTTACTTTTTGACTTTGGTAAAAAGAGCCATTGAGTAAATTCCATACAAAAACTCTAAAATTAATTATCATATAAATCCTATTTTATATAATTAATTTTTTTATTATAACAAATGTTACCTTTATATCACTTTTTCTTGATATGGGCAATTTTAGTATTGTGTGTAGTTATACTATTAGCGGAAAAGCTATTAATAAAATTTGAGTCTGGCGTATTTTTCTTTTTCAAAATTTTAAATATTCCTTTAATTGTTCCTTTATCCCAGTGAGAATCAAGTTTTCTTTACAGAGAACAAACTTGATATTAACTTAGTTTTTTTTTCTGTGATTCCAAAATAAGACATTACTCTGTGGTATAATAGTAAGAATCTATTTAGAATTTTGGAAATCCTCGTTTAAAGTATATATATATATATATATAGATGCCTTGAATTGAATAGTTTATTATTTTAAATTTATCAACAAATAATAATTCTCACTTTTCCATTCATCCCTGGCACTCTATTAAACTCTTTAAAAAGCTTTTAAAAACCAACTCAAGAAGTTAGCTTTGATTTGACACTATAAAATTTGGTCTGCTCTCAATATCCAGTGTCACCAAATGAACAATTAATTTGAGTTCAATGTAATGACTCCCCCCCCCCATATTTTCATACTCAAATTAATTCTGTCATCACAATTCTTCACATTACCAAAAAAAAATTGCTACAGGTCATGAGGGAGGAAGGTGCTTTAATTTAAGGTTACCCAGAAAGACCTACGGCAGCAAGGCATGTGGGGAACGGGAGAGCAGGGGTTACATTCTCAGGTGACAGCCAGCCAGCTACCACACAGTATGTAATTCTCAAGTTGTTTTGCATTCGTACAATAAATAACACGTGAAAAAAAAATGTTGCCAAGGCAAAGAGTAAAAAAAAAAAAGGCAGCAAGCAGTGGATACACTGGGGGAAGCATAAATAACTTGAGCTAGCCCCAAGTAGTTGCTGTAGACTAACTGCATGACAGATGCGGAAATGCACTAACATCCCTAATACCAACTCGCTGTAAGTGTTCTTCGAGCTCGGCAGATCTGTTTTGTCAAATGTTAACCAGAATTCACTCTCTAGAATTCTTGCTTCCTAAATAAAGAGGGATAAAAAATGTAAAGAGTGCAATGTTGTACACGATCAAAAAGCTACAAGACAGAGCGACTAAAAGGTCAACCCTACTGGCAGAGCTACCTTGTTTGAGGAGAATGGACCATCACCAGCCAGGAAAAGCCCAGAGATTAGGAGCTCTCGGTGTAAGGGGAGAGGGGGCTGGAAAAGGGTAATCAGGGAGTGAGCCCCACATAAAGGTTAGTGTTATACTTTATATTCTTAAATAAGTCTTTTGACAACTGAGATATGTTTTAAAAATCAGATGGGAAGTTTCCGACGTTGCACTGATTCTTTTATAGGTATAAAAATATGTAATATTAGGAAAATAGTAAATTAAGAGAAAAAGGTAGATTTTTAATTGTAGTATATTTAAAGCACCCAACAGGCTGTGATAGCTTAGTTTATTTTAAAACAAAGGCAAATTATATTAGGAAATATGGATATAAATATAGACACACGTGTCTGTCTATCCATCTATCCACCTCTCTATCCATCGATCCATCCAACACACAAATAGATACATACATGGATATAAATGTGTGAGTATCTCCACTTATACAAATCTATATTGTTAGCTAGTATTGTTTTTATTGTAAAATTTCTGATCTAATCATAATGTCACAAAGAAATAAAGCCATAATCAGAATAGTTTACAACTCCAAATTAAATTGTATTATTTTTCTAAATATAGGCAAAACAAACTTGTTTCTTAAATACACTTGAGAGAGAAAAAAGAGAGAGGAAGAGATAGAGAGAGGAGGGTCTGAGAAATCATAATTACAAAAATAATGTACAATTTAATTGAAACCTGGAACTTTATATTTGGAGATCATTTAGTTATCAAAATTAAATAAATGTTGGCACTCCCAGATAAGGGTTTAACTGAATTAAAATACAAAACTGCAAAGCACTTTTTCTAGCTAAACATGAAAAAATTCCTTTGGTGGTATTCTCACCAAAACTTGGTATCAATAAAGTTAGTCCATAGCAGATTAACACTCGTATGATCAAGTGGATCAAACTCACACACTTACAAATCACATTTCTTTTTACAACTGATGAATATACTCAGTTACACAGTGTTAATAGTGACCCAAATGTGGTACCATGTGTTTGCATAATAGTGTAATCGATGAAGGCTTCCTATGAAATACCATGTAGGCCACTTTCTGAGAAGCCTGCTTCCCTGGTCAGGGACAGTCAACTCAGCTGGTATATTTTCACTAACTAAAGGGAGTAGTTGTGGAATGAGCATGGATGGCTCAACATAATATTTCACCACAGGAAGAGATGACCAGTCCATCAGTCCCGAATGCCTTTTCTTTTGCATCTTTAGATCTGTGCAAATGATATTGAATAAATGTTTAAAATGAAGACAAAACTGAGA